GANAAAAATCTAAAATCAAAGTCCACAAATAATTTTAATCACATATTTTTTTAAACTCACAACTTTTCAACAAAATTTTTTATCGACGTTTATTAAAACCTACTAAAATTTTAGCAAAATCAAACTGTGACTGAGTAAGATAACCCCATAATGATTGCATTAATTTCAATGTCAATCTCTGTGAAATAAAGAACTTGCACTAACTTACTTTATTATTTAATATCATGAATAAGGTGTAAACAGGATTTAGTACCATATATTTATTATGGAATAAGATGTATTCAATTTTAGTATACATCGAAAATGAAAGGTAACTTGTCCTGATTACAATTTACACATCATGTGGATATTAATGCTCTTGTTATGTTTGGCAAGTGTTTATATATCATTTATAAAAGATTTAAAAATGGTCAAGTCAATTTTTATCAATGCATTTTACGGGAGTCACAAGTATTATTCACTAATATTTCACTCATTTTTATCTATTTGTAGACAAAACTATTTTTAAACACTTTCCAAGCAATCTTTGTTGAAACTTTGTGTCATACTTAGACAATCTGTTGGGCATTTTACGCGATACTTTTGGTATATGGTATTAAAGTAAATCAATTGCAAAGCTAACTTAGACAATCTGTTGGGCATTTTACGCGATACGTTTAGCGTACAGTATTAAAGTAAATCAAGTGCAAAGCATAAGTATTTAGCATGTAGTACTAAAGTTGTAATTAAAATAAATAAAATTTCTTGAATAATGCTATCTAATACAATATGTGCTACAACAGCATTATAGATGGCATTAAGTGATATGTCAACTAAAAGTAGGAATATAAAATCCGTTTAATTAGACATATCATTAACGCCATGTAATGTCATGCATCTATATTAGTGTTGTTATAGCAATAATGCTGAGGGTGTGTTTGATTGGGAATCATGCAATTTGTATATAAAAAGTAAATTCTAAACAATTTAATTGCTTAGAACTTATTTGTATGAAAATTATTAATTAAATATGTTTGATTGATTTATTTTTCAACCTTAAAAATATTATATTTGTCTATTTTTTATTGATGGGTAGAAGAAAGAGGTGGGATATATGAGACAGAGAGAGAGAGAGAGAGAGAGAGAATTATCTGAAAAATAAAAATCACCCCTCCTTAAAGGAAATGTTTTCCTTATTTTTGAGAAAAATATAATTACATGACCAAAAGTTGAAAAAGATTTTCCATACAAAATTGTCAATCAAACATTCTCTAAACGATATTACATTAGTGTTGTAATAGCAGTTGAGCTAAATGAAATTACTCTATATTCTTTTTGTTTGTTCAATTAGAAAATCTTTTCAATAAGACCTTGACGAACATCAACTTAAAATATTCTAGTCACATCATTGTAATTTTCTTTACTACACATGCATTCGTCTAACATTAAAAGTTACTTTTACTACCCAATCAAAATAAAACTTTAATTTCAATCACCCATTCAAAACTACTACTTATTATAATCCATAGTTTTGTAATTCCCACCACTATTTCTCTTATAAAGTTCCTAAAAAGATACTAATAATCAATTTCGAACAGAAGTTACATTTACAAAATATCGTCTCAAATCATTTTATTTTATTTGATCTTATGTAGCTCTAATCAAGTATGTCAGGCTAAATATTTTACTCGATTGTTTTCCTAGGCCTCGTTTAAAGGCCTTGTTATGATCTTTTGAAGAGGTAAAATTTTCCTTGATCGGCTAGGATTCTCCTGTTCCAATTATTTATCATACTAAAATCATTGGCTAAAGCTAAAAGGTTACCTCATAGAAAAGCATACTAAATACATAGAACTTCTTTTCTTCTCTTTTCATAAAAGCTTCCCTTCTTGTAGCACTTTAGTGGAAGGTGAAAAATTATGGTCGTACTTTTGTCTACCTACTGATTGATAGTCAACAAAGACCCAATTGGTCAACATAAAGAAGCTAGTTGTCGAAGCATTATCTCCATGTTCTGAAGCCTTATTGCTGAAGTGCTATCTCATTGCTCTAAAACTCTTCTATTAAAGCACTACCTTCTCCCTTTTGAAGTCCTCTTTCAAGCTGAAACACCTAACTTTCAGAGGACCTACAGAGTATCTCTAAGTATGTTGATGTAATATCTATATTAATGAATATCATAATTGTCAACTTAGGGTGTAGGGTAGCTGACTCATTGTCAATATATTAATGTATGGCAGAGAGTGATGTGAGGCTTTAGTTAATGAGATGAGGCCACATGGTTCTGATCCAATGGCTACCATATAGGTCCAAACCTTATAAATTGCAACTCTTGTAACATTTTAAAGGGATGACATTTTTACATACTAAAAACCACATTCATTCTTCTCTCTTACTTATACCACATTTAATTGCTTGAGTTTAGATTACTTTTATATGTATGGAATTGCTTGTAAGTGTGCAATCATCTTTGATCAAGTTGCCAATACTTAAACATTTTTGTCTTGTGTCGTAAAGTATCTCTCACGTCCATAAATGTCACTCTTCTCTATCTGAATCTCTGGTCAAAATATGTTGAAATTAGCCTGCGTAGACCCAGTGGGCTCGGCTCGATTTCCACATGATCACTACAAAAAATGGGGTCAACATATTGGCATCGTCTATGACAAACCACATATTAAACTACAAAAATCCAGTGGAGAAATGTCCAACAAAAGGAACTCTTTGGGAAATTTCTTGCCTTTGAAGAGAAATAGGTGTTCTTTAAAAAAGAATCACCAAGTACTCTAAGAGGATCCATTTTTTCTAAAGTCAAGTGCATTCCTTGAAAAAAGGAGTATCGTTCGGGGCTAAGAAGTCCAAGTAACTGAAAAGAAGTATTACCATGAGTTCAAACAATGAGGAGTTTGTACCTCGTAGGACTAGGGAAAACTCTCAAGAAGGGAAATCCTCTAATGTTGTTCTATCGACTTGCCATCATTTCACTAGCCACATAGTTGAGGTGGATCAAGAGGTGGGTCTAGAATAGCTTCTAGACTCACTAGGAATGTGGCCAGCATGGCCTCGAAAATGCGGGACATAACTCAGCAAAACATTGCAACACATGAGCTGCAGAGGAATATGCAGAGCCAAGGAGGATACCAATTCTTCCATATGCAACTCAAGGAAAATGTATTCTTCCATGACCCCCTTATAAGGAAACTAATACCATGGTGAAGAGTAGGTCCAAAGCCAAATGATTGATTACCAACACTACACGAGGCAAGAAGCCCCTTAGAAAAAGGAAGTTAGGGTTGATACATCCACCAACTATGCTACAACCAAACCAACAAGGTCCCATTCAACTTTTTCTTAAATTACGACCCAGAAGACATGTCTCAGAGTCTATAAGCATCTTTCAAAAGTTGAGGCTTGAACAACCTAGAAATAGGCAAGCTCAACCTCCTATACCTAGAGATAGGTAATAGAGACCACCCCGATTTGAAAGACAAAATGAACCAGTCTATGAGAACTTGCCTCGAAATGCTCCTTATTACACCTACCACCACTCTTATAGCCACGATACTATTGATTGTAGGGATATCACATTACACTCCAAATTGACAATCACGGAAGGAAAAGGTATCCATGAGGACACGTACCTCTCCCTAGGCATGATTGACGACCTAGAATTGATGAGACAAGGCGTCCTATTAGGAATGATGCCCAACGAAGGTGGGAAAATGATGGTAAAAGACC